GAACATGAGTTTTTCTTGGATATGCTTCTCAATATAAAGGCTATATTTGTCTTAAGTCTCCTTGTCAGATTGTTTTGAGACATCTGTTCCTTTTATTCCCAGTCAATCAGTTTCTTTAGATCCTTCATCATTACCTCTTCAGCTTTTCAACCAGATCAACTTCCAAATATTTTACCAATCATTCTAAGTAATTCACACCAAATTCAAACCAGATCCAAGTCTGGAATCAGTGAAACGAAAGCCTTAAAATCAGTTGTCACAGATTCGGCTGATGTTGATCTATCGCCTTTTCTTCTAAAGAAGTTGTGGCTATGATGCATAACATAAGATAAGCAGGGAACATGAACTTCGGTATATGCGGATGGCACCATACTATTTATATATATATTTTTCTAAGGACCAGCCTAGCGCCTAGCGTCCACGTTTCAAAAAAGCGTATAGCCGAACGGCTATACCCTTCAACTATATTATATTTAAAACCAGTATAGCCATGCGGCTATACTATTTATTTATTAAAAAGGACCCACTAGCGCCCATAGAGCCCACGTGTCAAAAATAGTATAGCCGGTCGGCTATACTATTTATTAAAAGAAATTAAAAAGAAACGACGCCGGTAAAGCCGGTCGGCTATACTCTTCTTTTTAAATAATAAAATCCCGAGTATAGCCATGCGGCGATACGATTCATGAAAAACAAAAGAAGACGTGACCAGCGATGAGTGCCACGTGAGTATAGCCGCACGGCTGTACTATTTATAAAACCAATAAAAAACGGCTATACTATTTATATATTTTAAAAAAACTCACCTAACGCCTCATGTGTAAAAAAACGTGTAGCTGCACCGCTATACCCCGTTTTATTAATGTTTCTTCAAAAATTGTATAGCAGCTATACTTATTTTGACATGTGGCACCTAGCGTTGTGCATCTACTCTGTTTTTTTAAAAAATAAAGCGTATAGCCACTCGGCTATACTATTTATTTTATAATAAAAAAACCTGACCTTTCTAGTTGCATTAGTTTATACCTTATAGATATTAATTTGCTAGTTTCGATATCTCCAAAGCAGACATTGAAGAGAGATCAATTTCACAGTAAATCAATTTGAGAGTTCAATTTTTTCTTCTTCTTTTGATGTTGATCTTTCGCCTTTTCTTCAGCTTCTAAAGCTCCAGCTCGGCAGAATGCTATGAAAGCAGAAATTGCTGCATAACATAAGATAAGCAGGGAACATCTAGTTTGGTATATATAAGGAATGCGGATGGCACCATAGCTAGACATACTGATTATATGTGTAAATTACAGAAATCCTTGTATGGTTTTACGAAGGAATCAAGAGTATGGAACGAGAGATATACCACTTTTCTTCCCGCAATAGGCTCTTTAAAGTATCATATGCATAATCTTCTTTGTTTGTCAGGTACTGTAATGGCTCAGTGGTTATTATTCTTCTTTACTTTGATGACATAATATGGAGTAGAAGTGATTCTGCTGTTACCTCTATTCTCTACTGTTTTTGTCTGCCTTGGCAAAAGAATTTGATCTCAAAAACTTGGGTGAACTGTACTGTGTATTCAATATATATCTTCAGGATTATTTGTCTCTCAGTGTAAGTATACTAGAGACATTCTTACAAAGGTAAACATGATGGACTGTAAAATCTTGCATATTACAAGTATTTGTTATATTTTTAGGCTCAAGTCCTCTATACTAGTGCTCAAAGAAACAAACTACTAGTTCAAAGTCCTGTATCCTAGCGTTCAAAGAACTAGGGCTCTTGATGTTACAGCAGGTGAACTTGCCTGGCTTTGACACCCCTTTTTTGATCTTCATGTATATATTCTGTCTTGTTTTGTGACAATCTATAAGCTATAGCCCTCTCGTCCAAAATGAAAAATGAGTCCAACTATGGGGACGAAAAAACGTAAGTTAAGCCTCAAATTTATAGATTCAATATTGACTGTTACAAACTTTATTAATTATATCAGAGCCTCAAATATAGCACATGTACTTATTGTTGGTAGCAACCTCTGAGAGAGAAAACATAAGCTACATAGTATCCTGCTCTGCAACAACTTTCTCGGCTAGATCATTCGTTCTCCTCAGAAATCGAGACAAACATGAACTGGTTGACTGACTGTTCTCAGCTAACATATAAAGGCAAAACCAACAAAAAAACAAAAACAAAGCAAAAAAACAAAACAAAGATACAAGTCAGCCCAAGGAGGAAAATTTCCATGAATGTATTCAAATAGTGAAAGACTATGTATCAATGAAAAACAAAGGCTTATTCTTCTAAAATGGAAATTATTCCTTAAAATTTACTAGGACTATTTACCTTGATGAGTTCGCTTAGGAAAGAAAATGAGATAGGGTGGAAATAACAAATTCAACTTTATCCTATAAGGTTGTCATTCTCAGCACAATAAATTAAAAAGTTAAGATGAGAACACAATTCATGTCAACATGTCACGTGGTGTTACCGTCACATATAAAAAATGAAAATGAGTTTAATCAAGAGCGAAAGAAAATATAAAAGGGAAAATTATTTTTTGTGCTTGTCATAATAAAATGTGGGTGTAAACTAAGCTCAGTCATTTAATAAAAGAGACAATAAATTTATTTATTTATTTAAAGAACGAGATTATGCTTTCCGCAGGTTAGAAAATATTTAACTAACGGCCGTGATGTTTCCAGCTAAGAGTGACCTAAGATTTCAAATTGGTAGCAGTCAGTCATTTATTACATCTCACAAAATAAAATCTTTTTATTTGATTTTTTTTGTTGAGAGAATCTTTTAATTAGATTTCTTTAATTGGTAAGCGAGGAAAGGCCGCGAAAGAAAATACCCCTACTACTCTCTCTCTCTCTCTCTCTCTCTATATAATAGAAAGAGGAAACCCAGCACCACCAGGAAAAAGCAAACTCAGATTTCAAGAACCCTCACAAAAACTTTCACCGCGTCAAAATTAAGCAGAGAGAAAACCCTAAAACGTTCGTTTCGATCTTTCTTCTCCGCTATCGTCGTCTTCGTTGATCACCCACTTTCTCTGTTTCGTCTCTTTTTCTCTTACCCATTTCAATTTGATCGTTTTCTCCAAAATCACGAGCTTCAATCACCGCGTCAAAGTTACGCAGATAGAAAACCATAAAACGTTCGCTTCGATCACTGTTCTCTGTTTCAATGATAACGTCTCCTTCGTTGATCACCCACTTCTCTGCTTCGTCTCTTTTTCTCTTACCCATTTGATCGTTTTCTCCGTTAATTTGTTTCTGTCAGACCCAGAATCAAAAGCTTCAATTTTTGTTTCTACAAAGTACAAAAAACAATGGGTTCATTGAAGAGGAAAAGAGAAACCCAGAAGGAAGACGAACCAGGGCTTCTAGAGAAGAGTTTTTTACTTACTGGGTGTGGCTCGTGGTTCGAGGGCGGAAGCTCGGCCAAGGCGGATTTGGGTCGGTTTATTTGGCCTCTGTGAAAAAACCCAAATTGGGTAGCGAGGGTTTCCCGGCGATCATGGCGGTGAAATCTGCATTGATGGTTGAATCGCTTGAGCTGATGATGGAAAAGTCACTTCTTCAAACGCTTCGTAGCAGCCCTTTTGTTATCGACTGTTATGGAGAAGATGTGACTGCTGGGTTTGGTCATAATTTGGTATACAATGTCTTCTTGGAGTATGCTGATGGAGGAACAGTGGGGGATTTGATAAAACAATCTGGGGGCTCTGGGCTCTGTGAATTACAAGTGAGGAAGTATACAGATTCGATTTTGAAAGGGGTTCAGTACATTCATGAAATGGGTTTTGTGCACTGTGATTTGAAGCCTGAAAACATCTTACTTGTGACCTCTGGTTCTGGTTTTGTGCCCAAAATTGGGGACTTGGGACTGACAAAGAGGGCTATGAGCAAGCGTTCTTGTAGAGGCACTCCAATGTACTTATCTCCTGAAACAGTGCTCGATAGAATTCAGGAGAAGCCTTCTGATATTTGGGCATTGGGTTGTGTTGTGCTGAAGATGCTCACTGGGAGGCATCCATGGGATACAAAAGCCGGCGTGAAACTTCATGACCTAAAGCCTCAGATTGCTTCTGGAGTTCCTAACATTCCTGGTGGGTTATCAGAAGAGGCGAAAGATTTCTTGAACAATTGCTTTGTGAGGGACCCTTCACAGACGCTCACAGCAGCTAAGCTATTGCACCATCCCTTTATGACTAAAGTTGATGAGATTGGACAGGTTAAAGTTGAACCAATAAAGGAAGTTTCTTCAGTGTTATCTTCTGAGCACTGTGTTATTGATTATGGAAGTTTCATACCACTTGGAAGTTGGAGCTCTGAAGAGGAAGAGGAGATGGAGCAACAAATTCTTCCTTTGGCCCTCATGTCTCCTAGAGATTCAACCCCTGTGATCCCATCCACTGGGTGCCAAAAGCCATCAGCTTTTCCTATATTGGGTGCAGCTTAGTTTATATTGTTTTGAAAGCCTTCCATGAATTGATGTAAGGCTTGATATGTATATTCATTTCTTGGCGGCTGTATAGTTTTTATGTTAATATAGAGAGCTAATAGTTGCACTTTGATCTCTTTTCCTAATGTGTGTTGGTGTTACTGTTTTACTGATGTAGATTATCTCACTAATCATTGCATTTGACCAGTGGTTTACAAGTTGGGATTAAATCAGTAAAAAGTAAAATGTGCATGCTTGCCCCAAAATACAGGGGAATCTAACTTATCAAGCTAGTCAAAGGCCTGTCGACAGCAATAATAGATGTATATCTTTTTCCTTAATCAGCATAGGGACAACAAGATTACCTTTTTTGTTTCCGAAATTATCCAAAGTATAACTTGTTCATGGTAAAACAGAGCACTATTGAAGAAACATAGTTTTTCTTTGGACTTTCATTTTTCCGATTTTTCATTTCAAGTCAGTAAAAATTCGAATCAACAATTTCAGCACAAAGGTTGTAGCAAAAACTAATGACCAGCATTTATTCAGCAATGGTATCAATTATTCAACAATTTGTATCGTAAAATAGTATGTCTTGGTTAACAATATTGTACCACCCCAGAGTGGTCAGGCACAAAGTCGTATGTACACAGAAACTATTGAGTAGCTCGAAATACAACCGCACAAAAATATACAAAGATTCATTGTACATGGAGGTTACATAAAACTTAAGCTACATAGCATCTTGCTTTGCAGCATCTTCCTCCGCTAGATCATTTGTTCTCCTCAGAAATCAAGACAAACATGCACTGATTGACCGACTGATCTCAGCTAACATATAAAGGCAAAACAAGCATAATCCTGTTTCAGGAGCAGACAGATTCTAGGAAAGTTATATATATGTGATGTTTAAAACAAAGATACAAGTCAGGCCAAAAAGGAAAATTTACATGAATGTATTCAAATAGTGAAAGACTTTGTATCAATAAAAAAACAAAAACAAAAGCAGTGGCTACTGAATCTGACAAAACAACACATGAGTTGCCACCCTGCTTTTTATCTTAAAAGACCAAACTACGAAAACAATCTCAGTTACGAAGAGGTAACAGATTTAAGCAAAAAACATAGCAGCATAGGCAACTGTAAGACCTGACACCAACCGTCCCAAAGCTGATAGCATGTAAAGCCACCTGGAGTAAGATTTAAATGAGAAGTTATCGGGTTAGCTGTCAGCAAGAACTACTTATGATTAACAAATTTGCATAGCTTTATTCTACGTGATAACATGCTATCACGATACTGATAAGCAACATCTACAACCATCGCCAAGGAAGGAAAATAAAAATCAATTTGATAGACTAGCACAGAAGTAGACAACTTTAATAACACATGATGGCCTGTCAGCCAAAGGACCTGCCATGGGACCGCAAGATGCCTTTACTCAGGTCAAAAGTTTGATGATTAGAATTTAGAATTTATAGCTAGAAAAATATAGTGAGGGCTGTCTACTCAGTGCAAAAAGTTAATATTCTACTATAGCGAAGCTACAAATCAGCTACAAATATATTTTTTATTATCTTGTGGACTGTTATTACAAGTACATTTTAGCTTCCATTCTTTTCTTCTAAAATACTATGCAGTAGAAGAGAAGGTGCATTATGGAGTGCCCTCGAAGTGGCATCCAAGTCTTCCCAGTGAAAAAGACAAATGCAAGCATGAAAACACATGTACACACATAACAACATGCATATGGAGCTCAATACCAAAAGAAATACAAATTTCTACAATATCAAAGTTCAAAATATGTGCTGACTTGGGCCACTTTATAATTCTTAAGACATGTATTAGCACCTCTCCTTGATACTTAAAGCTCGCAGCAGCTTATGTCTACATGTTAGCCGTTGAAAATTTTCATCCATAGCCACCAAGTAATAGAGACTGCAAAAGCTTGATACCAAAACAAAAATCCATTGCAGTCATCAAGCATTAGTACCTTGAAAAACAACCTCTTGTCATGCCCTGTGGCTGCAACCCTCAATACAGACTCAGCTGCTCCTATGGTATTGGCTAACCATGCAACAATGCTACGAGCAGTGTCCTGTGAAATGTGCCACTCGAGTGGATCGACAGGTACCCTAGTCAACAATAAAACTAGATACTTCAACACAAAGATCACCATTCACCACTACAATCGTACCAAATCTATAAATTCATAATATGACACAGAAACCGGTTATCAAACAATACCATTCACACAATTATAATTTGAAACAAAGAACCACAAATTCTCAGTTCATCTATCACGGTAACAACTCCAATTTTTCTTCAATCCCCCATAACCTATTTCAATTCCAATGCATCCATTCAAGACAACCCTACAGAGTTAAAGAGCCTATCAAAATCTAAACAAAACCCAAATTTCTCAAAATCATTCTTAATCAAACTCAATTAAAGCACAACAAATTTGCATTCAATTTTCAACCATCATCAGATAAAACCAGACTCCAAACTGACCCAATGACCCAATAACAAGACTTTAGAAACCCAAATTCCTCAAAACCCAGAAAAATAAACCAAAAACAGAAAGAAAAGCAGTCGCTTTCCCGCATTTTCTGGGCAGACAAAACAAGGGCGCAAAGGAAAATGGGGAATTTGGACTTACGAGATGTTCATCTGGCGAAAGAGAAGGCCGAGAATGGCGAGCGAGCAGAGGAGGCCGACGAGGACATCGGAGACGAGAGACGAGGCTGGAGTTGCGATGTTTCTATACGGATCGAATTGCACCCAGTTCTTTTTCTCACCACACCCATATATCCTCACAAAAATTTCCTAACCTTCCCGTTCTATCCTCATTGATTGTTAATTGTTCGATTTCTTTTTAGCTAAAATAAAGTGAAGAACATAATCATGGTGTGAAGTGGTTCATCACACCATGGTTAGAAGGTCGTGTGTAAGTATGACAATTACTATTTTTTGTCAAACCAAAACTCTTTGGGTATTTTATATTTATATATTTTCTCCTAAAATGGAAATTATTCTTCAAAATGTATTAGGACTATTTATCTCGACAAGGTCTCGTCTAGGAAATAAAATAAGATAAGGATGGAAATAACAAATTCAACTTTATCCTATTATGTTATCCTTCTCAATACAATAAATTAAGAAGTTAAGATAAAAATATAGCCCATTTCATTATGTCATGTGGTGTTACCGTCATATATAAAAAAATAAAGAAAGGTTAAGAAATGAGTAAAAAATAATTTTTCACTGTCCAAAAATTAAAAATTAGATATAAAACTGAAATTTTGTTTTTGTTTTTTGGTGCGTTATAATAAAATGTGACACTAAACTCAGCCATTTAATAAGAGAAAGTAAAAAAAAGCAAGGTCTTATAAACAAAAAGAAAAACGGTTTATGCTTTCAGCGGTCCAGATTATACTAAACCAACGGCCCAGATTTCACAAAATAAAATAATAACAACAATAAAAAAATATTTTATAAGATTGTTAATTAGGGCAAAAGGAAAGGCCGCGAAACGAAAATATGACCGTTAGAGGGCTCACCGCCTTCAACCCTTATCTCTATATAATTGAAAAATGAAACCCAACTCCACCAGGAAAAAGGAAAATCAGATTTCATAAACCCTCACACAAAGTCACGAGCTTTCAATCAACGCGTCAAATTTAAGCAATATAAAACCCTAAACGCTTTGCTTGCTTCAATTTCTCTTATATCGTCTTCTTCGTGGATCACACTTCCCTGCTTCTTCCACATCAATCAGTTCATCTCTTTTGCTCTTTACCCAGTTGATCGTTTTCTCTGTCTGTCCCTTTGTTTTTGTCAAAACCCAGAAGCCAAAAGATTTAATTTTGTTTTCACGAACTACAAGAACAATGGGTTCATCGAAGAGGAAAAGAGAAACCCAAAAGGAAGACGAACCAGAGCTTGTTAAGAAAGAAAGGAGTTTGTCACTTCCTGAGTGCGAGTGGGTTCGAGGGCGGATGCTTGGCAAAGGCGGATTCGGGTCGGTTTATTTGGCCTCTGCGAAAAAACCCAAGTTGGGTAGCGAGGGTTTGCCGGCGATTATGGCGGTGAAATCGGGACGGGTCTTTGAATCGCCTGAGCTGCTCATGGAAAGGACACTTCTTAAATTTTTTGGCGACTGCCCTTTTGTTATCGACTGTTATGGATCAGATATGACTTCTGATGCTGAAAACAAATGTACATACAATGTGTTAATGGAGTATGCTGATGGAGGAACAATGAGGGATTTGATAACAAAATCCGGGCGTTGCGGGTTGCTTGAGTCCCAAGTAAGAAAGTATACAGGGTGTCTTCTGAAAGGGCTTCAGTACATTCATGTAAGGGGCTGTGTCCACTGTGATCTGAAGCCTGAAAATATATTGCTTGTGAGTAGCAGTGATGGTGATTTTGTGCCCAAAATTGGGGACTTTGGACTGGCAAAGTTTGCTGTTTATAAAAAAAAGAGTCGCAAAGAACCTGCTTGTCAAGGCACTGCAATATATTTTTCACCAGAAGCCGTGCTTTATGGAAATCAGGAGAAGCCTTCTGATATTTGGGCCTTGGGTTGTGTTGTGCTCGAGATGTTAACGGGGAGGTGGCCGTGGGATTTGGAAGCCGGCGCGACACCTGGAGACCTACAGCTTCTGATTGCTTCAAAAGTTCCCACTGTTCCTGGCTGGCTATCAGAAGATGCTAAAGATTTCTTGCGAAAGTGCTTTGTGAGGAACCCTTCTGAGAGGTTGGAAGCTGCTAAGCTATTGAACCACCCTTTTGTGACCAAACTTGATGGGTTTGGAGAGGTCAAAGTTGAGCCATTAAAGAAGCAAGTCTCTGCAGTGCCATCCTCTGAGAATTGTGAAGAGGCAGAAGGTTCAAAACCTGGGGATGCAGAGGAGATTCTTCCCTTGGCAGTCCTGTACCCTGGGGACTCAAAACCTGTGATTCTTCCAACCACTGTGTGCCTAAAGCCATCAAATGTTGCTATAACTGGTGCAGCTTAAAGCTTTTTCATGGATCAGTATGATACCTCATCATTCTGTACATTCTTTTCTTGGTGGCTGTACTGATTTCATTATTAATAGAGAGCTAGTTCCACTTTGATTTCTTTCTCTTGGTTCATTTTTCAAGTGTCTTCTTGTTTTGTACTTTGCATTTTATCCACTAGGTTTATATACGGATAGTAGTTTACAAGTTGGGATTAAATCAAGTAAAAAGGTTCATGATTGCCCCAAAATACAGGTCATTCTAACTTATAGGCAGCAATATTGAATTCATATCTTTTCCCTTAATTAACATAGGGACAACAAGATGGACATCTCTTCTTTATTGTTCCCAAAGTACATCCATTTGGATAATGCGATTCTCTGGTTCCAATAGCAGAGTCTTGAATCTCGATCACTCTTGCGAAATCTTCTTGCACTTGCTATAGCAGGATAGCAACATGGTTGCGCAGTTTATCATCAGAATCTGCAGCTGGCATAGCATTATGACACAAAATCAAATGTGATGAGTAAATTATAATGAATATATGAATTCTGATGTAAATAAACATGATAAAACATATAGATTCTGGTATGTATTACTTAACGTACGTACCTGAGTGATGATCAGTTAATTTGGTATTGGCAGTAACAAAATTATGGGCACATCCAGCAGTACATTGATAGAGGTTTTGGGGCATTTGGTTGTTGCATTTCCGCATACACTGATGCATACAAAAGTCATGAGGGGGAAGCAATAAACCAGGGCAGGGAACGGTAGGAGCATTGATTTGGAAGCCGTTGAGACATTCAAGAGAACAGGATTTTTCACACATTTCGTAATTAATATCACGAAAGCGGGCTGCTGGTGGGGGAGGTGGTGGTACTAGAGGATCAGTACTAGCAGTGGCGGATCCACGTTGGGACAAGAGGGGTCGGACGACCCCTTGGAATGCTGGAAAGTTGGCAAGGGACTCCATTGAAGCCCCCTTGGATGCACGCCAACTGCTCGACGAAAGTCCCAGGAGGAGGAGAAGCTTGCTGCGCAGCTGCACTGCGCCTTGCGCGCGCGCTGGGTGTGTTTTTTGTTTTAAAACAGCCTTGCGAAACGACGTCGTTTGGTCCAAGGCTCAGTCAATTTTTTTTAAATGACATGGCCTCGGGCCAGGTTTAAAAAAAAAAAAAAAAAAACCAGAACAAAACACAGGAGCTCAACTGTTGTACAGCTTACCTTATTTCCATCTTCAACATTTAAGTAAATGTCTTTGTCCTTTTACTTTTATTTATTTTTATATTACTCCATTTACTTAAGTTTACAATGTAAATAAGGAAGTACCCCCCATTTGGTTTCAAATAAAAATACTAGAAAATCAAATTCTCACCAAATCAAAATATGAAAATTCGGTTTTAGTGTAAAATACGATTTATGCTAAAAATGATGGCTCATTAAGTCAATATATACTTCATAATAAAATCCCATAAAATCAAGTTTTCTTATTTGATGTGTAAGGAATAAAAGCCGCCAAAAATTATCTTGAGAAAATGATTATTCCGAAAAACCATTTTTCATACTTAGTCAATATTGCACCTCCGCCAAAAAAATTTTGGGTCCCCCAATGCTTCCCTCTCAAATCCTAACCTCTCCCAACCTCCTAACCTCCGACAACCTCCATCAACTCTTCGCCGGTGGCCCATTGGCGATCACCACCACCATCTTGTGCCGCCCTTTTTTTTCAAGTACAAGTAAGCAGGTCAAAATTTAAATTAATAAATTTATAGTGATAATATATTGTTGATATTGATATATTTTTTTTTTTTTTTTTTAATGTAATGAAATCTATGGATATGAATCATATTGATGGATAATTTAGATTGATTGCGTTTATGCTTGATTGTTGATTGAGTATATTAAATATTGAATGATATTTGATATGATAATTTGGTATATTGAATATTGATTGATATGGGTGAATATTGAGAGTAGGTTATTGACATTTTCATATTCATTTGATAATTTGGATAAAAATTAATGATTGATTCAATTAATTGGTTTGTAGAATTATGGAATGATTCTATAAAAGAAAATTATCTACGGATAGTCCTTCTCCGTCTAATCCGGATAGTTCAAATGCAACAAGACCAATTGAAGTAGATGAGATATTAGCTAATCTTTAGGCAAATCCTGGACTAAGACCTCGAATGACAGATTATAGTCCTAATATTCGGGATGAGATCCGAAGAGCATATCTACAAAAGGGACCTTGTCAACCTAGAAGTTATAAATTCCCACAAACTAATCAATCAGGATTTAATAGACGTTTCATTGCTCAATGGTTTGATGAGTATGATTGGTTGGAATATAGTATAGCTACTGAGGTAGAGGAAAAATTTCGAATGACGGATTAAAAGGCTTTTTTAGCATTATTTTCTTTGTAAAAAAATTTCGGAACTTTTACACTAAGCCCCCTTGGCCACAAAATCCTGGATCCGCCACTGAGTACTAGGGTTGTAAGGGGAAAAGAGGGAGTGAGGGGGGGAGGATATCTACGTAAGGGATGAAGTGGTCTAGGGTTGTACTGGATTGGATTCGGTTGCACTACTTGAACTATAAGCACAAGAAAAATGTTCATCATGAGCAACATGATGTTCATGGCTGCTCCTCTCTATCTCTCTCAAGAAATGTTTATCTATATATGTTGGATGTTCAATTGAACACAAGTCCTGTATTTATAGCCTCAATTAGAACGTACCCTTAATTTGGTATGATGAGTATTGAGATCAAATTTTGCGTCATGTGTATATATGGAAACAATTAACATTATTAATTACGATGATGATGAGCACATAATTCATGTATAATTGGAGGAAATTCCACTAATAATTGCAATCATTCCTGGTAATTCCCGGTTCTTGGATTGAGTAACAGAGGAGCTAATTGTAATCAAATATCATTCCACTACCCATAA